TAAGGGAGGGGTAGATTTCAGGTGATAAGTTCGAGAAAATTCCATGCTGTCCTATCCACACAAATGATTCTATTTTTATGTTTTGATTAGTTAGGTGTACAACCATTGACATCTGACAGACAGGTTTATTTTGAATTGTTTCTTGTTCATGGTGCTTCTGTTTGCGGACTAGTCAAACTAAAAATAGTTTTATTTGTAGGAATCTGACTTACCTGTTGGGCCCGAATGTAAAGTCTCAGAAATAGCCACCAGTAATTGGTCTGTGCACTAAGCTGCGGTAGGCATCTAGAGTGCACTAGTGCAGATTGTGTACAGGGCTGTAGCTTATGAGCGACAAGGAGGACACTAGAGAGGACGAACGGATCTTGCGATCGGCAAGGCGCCCGATTGCCCACTTGGCATTCGGACCAGAGGGTGACAAGGACATGTTCCGCCAACTTAACGATAGGTTGCAGCAGCAGAGGAGGGCTAGAGCAGCAGAGGCTAGCCGGGCACTTGTGAGTGAAGCCGCAGCTTCAGAAGCTATGACTACTTCTGCGCAGCAGACTACTCAGGCCGGTAGTTCAGGATCTGTTGGGTCAACGGTCGCGCAGACTCAGAGTCAGTCCACTGGCGTAATGGCAAGCCAGCCTATAGTATTGACCTCCGATGAGATCGCCATACAACAAGCAGCATTGAAGGAGGCACAGCTACAGAAGGCGTTAGGAGATATAAAAGCGGAGGAAGAAAGAATGATTAGAAGAAGAGCCAGGATGCAACGGAGACAAGGTGACCTTAGTGAGTTAGAGGAGATGGACCTGACGCTCGTGACTGATGAGGTGAGGATCGTACGGTCCGTCCTGCTGAATGTAGTTGAGATGCAGGACCATCAGACAGCCATCCTTCAGGACATCCAACAAAGTCTGGCCCTGTTGGTTGGTCAACCGCAGGCTACGTCGCCAATGTCCGGGCCTGGTGCCTGGCCCATTGTACAGCCTCCTCCTTTTGTCCCACCGGTGACTGGGGTATCCCCATATGTAGTCCCATCATCGGTTGCGATCATTTCCTTGGGCATGCCGCTATAAGGAGGGATCACATCAGGATCTAGTTTGCAGGTTCCAGTGTAGACAGTGTTCACCCAATCTCCGTTGCAAGTTGTGGTCACCACGCAGCCTGCTGTCTCGCAGTCTGTACAGTCGCAGGGTACACAGCCCCTGCAGCTAGCACAACAACCTGTGTCACAGGGTCCACAGCCCGGAGTGATGCAGGGACCGGGACAAACACAGTGGGTGCCAAAGACGGCCATCGCCGCTCCGAAACCCTTCACAGGGGATAAGAGAGGTGAAGAGCTCGACACGTGGTTGAGGGCAGTGCCAGTCTATGTTAGGTGTAAACTTACGTTGCCGCACGAAGAAGTGCTTGTGGCTGCCTCCTACCTAGAGGGTAGTGCAGCAAGATGGTTGAGTGGTCTAGTGCAGCTCCAGGGGTATGGTCATGATTTCCGCGCTTGGGCGGTCACCCAGAAATTGGATGATTTCCTTAAGTTGGTGGAGGAAAGGTGGCATGATCCTCAGGAGGCCCAAAGGGCCACTGACGCGATCCTGACACTGCACACGCGGCAGTTCAAGTCAGTAAGGGAAGCCACCGACGCTGTGGAGCGTCTGATCTGTGTCCCAGGGGTGCGTTATGACCCCCAGGTACTACTCACCTCCTACCTGAGATGCTTCTTTTTGCCTCTCAGGAACCAGTTAGCAGATGAGGCCAACATCAATATGCATAACTTTCCTTCGTTTAGCAAGAAGGCCCTAGACCTTGAGGTGAAGATAGGGCATGGATAGGAACCCACTACGGACGGTAGGAAGAAAACACTGCCTCCCAACTAGAAGGCGAAGGGACGCATAATGTTTGTCGATAACGATGGTTCAACCATCGAATTAGACGACAACTTCCACGAGGGAGTAGGTGCAGAGGCGGGCAGCGTTGAAGCTTCAGGGGGTGGAGTTGTCGCTGCCATAGCTCAAAAAGGTAAGGCGACCGGTAGACGCCGTGGAGGCTCCCGGTCAAGGAGTCAAGTCGACCCCAACGCTCCCCCATAGGAGAAGGCGTGTCTCTTAGAGGACGTGTGGAGAGATCGGTACACACGGCAGGCTTGCATTCGTTGTGGCCAATATGGCCATAATCAGTTCAAATGCCGTAACAAGAAGGTGACCGACAAATTCCCGCCTACGATGGGGCAGGTGATAGGATCCTCCCATCCCGTTGGTAGCAATGTAGCCAGCACTTCAGGCACTGCTCCGAGAAACATGTCGGGCCAGTAGGAATAGTAGTTGTTCCTACTAGGGTCGAGGTGGTGGAGACACCCCCACCATCGAGAGATGGCCCAAGCTACTGACTCCAGCGCCGTCCCACAAACACGTTCAGACCCATCGAGCCTCTGTTCGATGAATGTGTTTGAGTCCTTAGAGGAGCTAGAGGAGGAGTGGTCTAGATCAAACCCGCTAGCTTCTTCGACGGCCCTAGTCAAAGCCCTGAAGGGTGAGATGTTCGTCGGCGAGGTTGTCATTGGCGGCCGCAAGGCCGGGGCCTGTTATAACACTTGCTCGACTAGAAACTTTATCAGTCGTGCATGCGTTGAGAGGCTACGCTTACAAGGGCAAGTGCAGCGCCTGTGTCGATCTGTGGAGTCGACCTGTGCCAACAAACAGCGCATGGTAGTCAATGACTACTTCTAGGATGTTGAGTGTTGTTTCCCGTACGCGGGAGGGGAATTGAGACATCGCGTCTCGTTCCTAGTGAGTGATGAACTGCCCATGGACATGTTGTTAGGTATGTACTACCTCTCTGTGGCACAACCCTAGTTTGACTGGGACCGAAAAGTGGTCAAACACACTTTGCCAAGCGGAGGGACCGCCAGATTGCACAAGTTCAAAGCTAGTAGTCTGATTGAGTCCCATGAATGCATGTGTGCGGCCACGTTCTATAACTAATATAAGCAAAATCAGGAGGAGGGTACGTACTTAGTTTATGTCTCTGCTGCAGGCGAGCCGGTGAAATGCCGCCGGAGATAGAGGGAGTAGTTGCCAAGTACCCTGATCTATTTGAAGAGCCGACAGGGGTTGTAGAGAGGGAGGTCGTCCACGCGATAGAGATTATCCCAGGGCCTAGTATCCCGAAGGGTAGGATCTATCGGATGTCTCTAGGCGAGCTCGATGAGCTTCGTCGACAACTCAAGGAACTCGTAGAGAAGGGGTGGATCCGGCAGAGTGTCTCTCCTTATGGGTCTCCAACATTATTTGTACCTAAGAAGAATGAGGGAACTTTGAGGATGTGCATTGACTATAGGGGCCTTAATGCCATCATTGTTAAGAATAGAAAGCCCCTACCGCACATCGACGATCTGTTAGATAGAGTGCAAGGGTGTCGGTACTTCAGTAAGATAGATCTAAAGTCCGGGAACCATCAGATTGCAATCCGGCCCGAGGATCAACACAAAACCGCCTTTCAGATCAGGTACGGTCTGTACGAGTTTGTGGTGATGCCTCTCGGCCTTTGCAATGCTTCTGGCACCTTTCAGCACGCTATGAATCGGATATTCCATGACTACTTGGATAAGTTTGTCATCGTGTACCTCGATGACATACTTATTTTTAGTAAGGTCGAGGAGCACGTTGCGCACTTGGACAAAGTCCTCAGTCTCCTGCGACAGCACAAGTTCAAGATCAACGGTGAGAAGTGCGAGTTTGGCCGCACCAGTGTCTTGTACTTGGGTCATGAGATCTCCGTGGAAGGGTTGAAGCCCGATGACGCGAAGGTGGCCAGCATTCGTGATTGGCCACGTCCTCAGTTTGTGACTGAGATGAGATCCTTCTTAGGAATGACAGGCTACTATAAGACTTTCGTTAAGAACTATAGCATAGTGGCCGCTCCTTTGACTGACCCGCCTTGGGAGTGGACCGATGAGTGCGAGGCTGCTTTCAGACATCTGAAGCATGCGTTGACGCACTACGAGGTCTTGAAACGTCCTGATCCTGATAAGCCGTTTATAGTCACCACGGATGCCAGCCAATATGGCATTGGCGCCATGCTCGCGCAGTAGGAGGGACCAAAGTTGAGGCCTGTAGAGTACATGTCCAAGAAAATGCCGTCTCAGAAGTTGGCTAAGTCCACCTATGAGAAAGAACTCTATGCGGTTTACAAGGCTCTGACCCATTGGAGACACTATCTCCTTGGGAGGTTCTTCATCCTCAGGACTGATCATCAGACCCTGAGATGGATGAGAACTCAGCCGGTACTCTCTGACGCTCTCAAGCGTTGGATCTAAGTCATTGAGCAGTATGAATTTGACCCTCAATATCTAAAAGGGGAGTACAACAAGGTTGTTGATGCCTTGTCGCGTAGACCTGATTTCTCAGGTGCGCTGATTACTGAGTTCGATCTGACGGGCAATGTTACTCAGTCCTTGGTGGAAGCCTATGGCGAGGACCAGTTCATGTCTGAGATCATATGCAGACTTGAGGCGAAGGACAAGAAAACTTTTGTCGAGTTTGAGTTGGTCAATGGCTTGTTGTTCCTTGAGAAGGCAGAGAATAAACGATTATGTGTTCCTAATAGCGATTCTTTGCGTAGTTTATTTTTAGGTGAGTGTCATGATGCCACCGACCATTTTGGGTATAAGAAGACCGCAACCAATCTGCTGCAGCAGTTCTGGTGGCCCATGATGATGCGAGATGCACAGTTGTACGTGGAGACTTGTCAGGTCTGTCAAAGAGACAAGTCCTGTACTCAGGCTCCTCTTGGGCTACTGAAGCCCCTTCCGATTCCGGAACGGCCTGGTGAGAGTCTGTCAATGGACTTCATGGATACTCTAGTGACCAGCAAGAGTGGGATGCGACACATGTTCGTCATCGTGGATAGATTTAGTAAGTATGCTAGGTTAGTAGCAATGTCAGAAACAACAAGAACGGAGTATGTGATCAGAATGTTCAAAGAGAACTGGGTTAGAGACTTTGGGTTACCGAAGTCTATTATTAGTGACAGGGATGTCCGATTTACCAGCGAATTGTGGAAGCCCGCTGCCGCAAAGCAGGGAACCCAGTTGCAAATGACTTATGGGAATCACCCAGAGGCCAACGGCCAGGCCGAGCAACTGAACCGCGTTGTACAACATCTGTTGAGGCATTACATCAAGCCCAATCAGGTGGACTGGGATGAGAAGCTTGCTCTCATCGCCAGTCTGTACAACAATGCGGTACACAGCGCCACCGGGGTGAGCCCGAACAGTTTGCTATTGACTTTCAAGCCTAGACTACCCTTAGATTTTCTCCTTCCTGAGAATCRGTCAACTGCTGCACCAGGTACTTTAGAATTTGCTTACCGTTATGAACAGAAGATGCAGCAGGCTGTAGAACAGATGCAAAAGGCACAGGCGGCTATGATAGAATCTGCAAACAAACACCGTCGTGAGTCTTCATTTCAGGTTGGGGACAGAGTCTGGGTTAAGTCCTCAGAACTGGGACAGGAGCACGGGATCTCCCGCAAGCTCATGCCACAATACTTTGGACCATGGGAAGTTTTAGATATTATTGGGACTGATCCGGACGGACTTTCTTACATAGTCCGGATCCCTGGTCATCTCCGTACTTACCCTGTCTTTCACACCTCCAAGCTTGCACCGTTCAAAGAAACAGATCAGTTTCCATCTCGCCGCTGAATGCTGCCCCCAACCATGGACGGAGAGGTGGATATCGATGATATCGTGGAGTCGTGGACCACAGGGAGCTGCCAGTGGCAAGACCAACAGGCAGGGGACGTCCTCCGAAACCGAAGCTGCAGTACCGCGTTCGGTTTCGGCATCACATTGATCCGAAGGAGGACCACTGGTTCACCAGGGAGAAACTCATGCAGACCGCTCCTCAAGTTGTAGCCCATTACGAGAGATCTCTACAGAAGGGAAAGCACCCAATGATTGAAGACTCAGCTTCTCAGAGGACTGTTGAAGCTAAGGAGGAGGGAATGCGAGGCCAATGCCTCTATGAGCCCCATTGTGGCCCCATTCTGAAGCAAGTCCGCCGCCCTAAGTGAAGGCAGGCTCGACGAGGCCCTCAGGGCCCTATTTTGGTCACCACGCAACTCAAGGAAATTCAGGCAGTTGCGCAGCACCAGTTGGTTGAGAGAACCCAGGCCCTGGGCCGCCTGTGTGAATGTACGGAAAGCAGCCCCTGGGCTGGATACGTGTACTGGGCCGAACACAGGCCAAAGGCAGTTGGGCGCATGCAACCACCTCAGGCCCAAGGCCTGTTCTCTATCGTGACTGGGCCTCGGGCTACCGGGGCCTACTGGAACTGGACGCAGGCAAGCCACTTCGATATAGCAAAGGGCCTGCCTCCGCATTCGTCATTCGGGTGCTGGCTGCATGCTGCGCAAGCGCTGCTGCTGCGCTAATTGCTGGCTGGCGCCTACGCGCTCACGGGCGAGCAGGGAAGGAGCAGGCAGCCATAGCCGAGTTGCGCTGCTGTAAGCTGGGTGTGGCGCAGGGTGGTCCTTGGGTGCAAGTGGCATCTGTGTGTTGAGGAACGAGGTTGTGAGTAAGGCGAGAGACATACTTGGTGCTGGAAGCGTGCGACATTGGTCGTTGTATGCTGGTACTTCGGAGGAGTTGTTGTCGTCAACTTCGGCATTGTAGTATAGGCTAGATCTGCCACATGTAGTCTGGGCGTCGAGCGCTAGATCGGATATCAACTCTGGTTCTTCGTTGACGATGATGATGGGACTATTTCAGCATTGTCAATTATGAACTCTTGGTGTGTTCTTATTTGGTGAAACTCGTGATGCAATTCTGCTGTTGGTTCAAGGTCACGACTATCTGGACTCACATGTATGATGTTGTTTGATTGTTGAAGCTTGCTATTGCTCATCTTCCTTGCACACTTAGGGCGGTCACATTTGCTGCAGGGGCCCCTTAGGCCTGCCGAGGACCTAGATCCTCGCATAGGAATATTCCGCGATTTATTTCGTGATTTATTTCGTGATTTATTTTCTTGAAAATAGGAATATTCCACGATTTTTATTTTTGTGATTTTCTTTTCCTTATTGCGTGAACTTATGAGAATTTATCTGTCTGAAAATCAGAATTATTTTGCAAATTCGTTTCTTGAATTTCGTAATTATTCCACAAATTTATTTTTTTATTATTTTGCAAATTACACTTCTTGAAAATCCAAATTATTCTGCGAATTTATTTTCTCAAAATTCTTTTCTGGAATCTTTTCGCTGATTCGTTTTTTTCTTTTTTTGCATACTAGAAATTCGAATTTCTTATTTCAACATTTTTCCTGAATTTGATTCTTAAAAAAAAAAAAAAACTCTCTCTTTGCGTTAAGTTTCGGGATCTTATTCCCCCATTTGCTGCACATACTCTCATCTGGAATTTAATTCGGATTTTTTTTTATTTAATTCGGAATTAACTGGACCTGCAATTTTTTATTTTTGCAGTTCCATATTATTCTTTATTTCGTTTGCTGTCTGAAATTCGAATTTTTCTTTTTTTTTCGGATTTCTGTTGCTGTGGATTGGGAGCCTACCGAACTTGCAATTTCATTTTTTATTTTTTTTTTGAAATTATTATTGTTCAAAGTTCGAACTTTTCAATTTGATTAGTGGCTCCTTATCTGGGTGATCAATGTTCCCACCCACCCCACCCCTGCTGTCACACTTCTCTACTTCTCTTCCTCCCGCCTGTCCTCGCCTACAACATTGGTAAGACGCCACATCAGCAGGTCACGTCAGTACATGGTGCTCACCCGCTCACAGACAAGCGGCATGGAGCAGCAGACTGGAGAGACACCCGAGGCCTACAAGGCCCACATGCTGACCATGGTGGAGTTCAAGCAAAGGGCAGTGGCGACCACAGCCTCACGAAAGAAGAGGGGCGAGGAGGCAGAGGAACGGTGTCGCCTCGCTGAACAGCAGTGACAGGAGGACGCCAACGCAGCAAGGAAGGCCGCAGACGAACGTCGTTGACTACGCCGAGGCAAACTCTTCGATTCGAGGGGGACCTCGAGGTGGTTGCCGGTGAATGGGCAGTGGCTGCTGAAGAGGAGGACGCCCCCACTGCTGTGCGCGACCTTGCAACCGCAATGGAACATGCGGCCGACTTGGTCGCCACCTGCACAGCGCAGCAGGAGGACATCCTCTGTGTGGACACCCTGGTCAGGAAGCAGGCTCGACTTATCGATGACCTGCTTGACCGGGTACGCCGACTGGAACAGCAGCCTGCAACAGCCACCGTCGTCGGGCCCTCCAACTTGGCGGATCACATCAATGTCTTGGAAGTTGACGTCGGGACTCTCAAGGACGGCGCTCTAGCGACAAATCAGCGGATTGACCAGCAAATTTGTGCTGCCGCAGCAAGTCCGACCGCGACTACTCGCGACATACCGATCTTCTGCGATGCAGCGAAGTTGGACCCAATCCCATGGTGGCACCAGTTCGAATTGAAGCTGGACATCTACAAAGTCAGCGACACCAACTGACACGCGTACTTATACTCCTGATTGGGGGGCATGTGTCAAGCATGGCTGGACAATATGTTGTCCACCCACACCGTCGCAGTCTCTGAGCTGCATATGCAGATCAGTTGGCCTGATCTCAAGGCATCATGGCATAAGCGGTTCCAAGTGGAGCCACCCGAGCTTCAGGCAGCTGAGAAACTTCAACGGTCTTCAAACTGTAAAAGCACGGACTGGATAACCAAGTACCAACGCTTGGCGTCCACGCCCAACTTGTCGTCGACCTTTATAGGCATCAAACACTTCTTCATCACGAGGAGCTGTCCGGCGTTGCAGAACGCCTTGACGCAAGTCACAGAGACACTCACCACAAGTGAGCAGCTGTTTGATAAAGCCTCGAAGATCATCGTGACGAACACCGAAGCCAAGAATGTAGGCCGTTCGTCTGCTACGAGCCAGGGCAGAAATCAGAAAAGCGTGCAAGATTTCCAAGCACACGGCTCTCCATCAGTTTGGCAAGACTACTGACTGTTTCCCTTCCATTTTCATGTACTATGGAAACTCTGACGCCACACTTCGTGCGCGACAATTACACCGACCGACCCTTCACACGAGGCTGCCTCTTCTGATGAAGGAGATAGATTGACACCCGCCCGGGATGGTGGCCGCCCCGCCAAAGGGCGAGGGCGCGGCAAACCGAAGACACACACCACTTCATCCCCTCGACCGGGCCAGCAGCTCAAGAGCCTTGGACACATTACGGTATCTTGGAAGGCATTTACTGCATCCGTACTAAGTACCGATACTGTTTGTGGTGCAACAGCGCAGTGCACGACACCGCAAAGTGCCCCACGCAAGTCAAAGGCAAATTCCCTTGGGAAAAGTGAGCACCGCCGAGAGTGATGCGGCAACACTCTCAACGCCTTCGGAACCGGTTGCTTCGCGGGCGACGTCTCTTCATTCTGAGGCACATGCAGAAATCGACAGTCCTCTCTTATATTCTTTTGAGGACGATGCTGCCCGGCTCGTTCCTTCACGGGGTTCTCAAGCTCAAGGGCAAGATGTGTGTGCGGTTTCTTCTCCGTCCGTAAGCAACGACAATTTATTGTCTTCAAGTGGTTCTTTAAGGGATTCGACGCACGAGTTCAACATACAGGTCTTGGACCCCTTGAAGTTCACGGATTTTGCATGGCGTCCTCTCCTTCCCACGGGCTGCTTACCGGAACTGCAATGTGCAACATTATGCGCCCATCTCCACACATACTTAGCCTTCTATGCACCACCATCTTCCCCGACGGATGACGAAGCTGCGGTGGGGGACATCCTTGTGTACGTTAGCAAGGTGGCCAACGAGTTTCACACACAGTGGTACGATGATAACAACGCATCGCTCGCTTATGTCTGCATCCAAGTTGGGCAAGCGTCCTGAAGCGCTTTGCTGGATAGCGGTGCGACTCGCAATTTCATCAACCAGTCCTTCATCCAAAAGGCCAGCCTTGACGCACAAGTTCGAAGGAAGCCACACCCGAAGACGATCAAGTTGGCAGACGGTCGAACACAACAACTCCTCGATCACTACACTGAAGCCGTGCCGGTTTACTTCGCACCTCATGCATGTGAGCCTGTGACGTTTGACGTCTTGGACATGGACTTCGACATCATTTTGGGGATGCCTTGGCTTCCAAGTGCGGATCACACGGTTAACTTCCATCGGTGGACACTTACAGTTCACGACGCCTTCGGCGCTGAGGTGTTGTGTACCATTCCTCTTCCGCACCCTTCGATCCGGTGTCAAGTTATAACGGCCAAGTCTTTTCGGGCCACTTGCGCTTACGAAGACCGACGAGATAGGCCAGTGTTTTCTACGGACCGTTGTGGTGACCGAATCTTCACCTACGAACTTGTCTTCGGAACCCCGAGTGGTGCGGTTGCTCGACAAGTTCACCTACATCTTCGAGTCTCCTACCGGTGTGGTGTCGGATGGACCGATCTCCCACGATTGTTTTTCATAACGGTTGTTTTGTTCTCTGATCCCACTGGCTGTGACTTGGAAACCTGCACATTCTCTCAGATTAGAACATCATGAGTCATAATTCGCAGCTAGAAAACGAAGGCAAACTAGATATTGAGAACTTGGTGATTGTATTTCCGATCTATTTATTTACTTTCTCATTTTTTGAGATTTGTTTGTAGGTGAGGCCGTGAAATTTAAATTTGTAATTTAAGTTTATTGTGTGGTGTACTCAACCGGGAACATGGCCTACCTCTGAAAGTGTCTGTGTGCATCCATCCTGACCATATATATTCCTCTATTCTTCTCTCCCGTCTCTTTCACATTTTTTGTCGACCCTGAAGGGCCAAATTAAAGCAAAAAGATATCAAATGCTAGGCCATCTCCGCTAGATGCTCACTGAGCTGAACGGCGTTGGCCCCAAAGCGGAACGACATGTACCCAACCAATTTGATGTGTGGGCTGCAGAAGACGAACTACAGAACGTTGATGTTGCTGTTGGATTGTTGGATGTCAGCGGACGCGTGCAACAAATTATCAATCTGGCTCGTTTGAGTCTTGATCGATTTGTCGCTGAGCAGTTCGCAGAGATCGCCAAGCATGAAGTAAAGGACGAAAGCGAGGGAAGGATAAGTAATCCACAAGTAAAAAGGAAGAACTAGACGTGGAAATTAAGGATGTGAAACGGTATTCACCAATTCGTGGTAGCTGAGGCAGATCCCAGGGCTTGATCCCTAGTTCCCCAACTTACCTGTGTATAATATCTACGTCAA